GCGTACACCATTTACAACCCAACTTTATTGGTGTCACTTTATTTCAACTAGAGTTAGCCCTAGTCAAAGACACATATCCTTATATTAAAAATTGCATGCGGTTGGGGTTCCGCGAATAGTCGGTTGTGATCTATAAAGGCAAACAAATGATGTTCACCACACGTGAAGGAGACAAGGAAACACAATAGTATAGGTTCCGGTTCGAGATTGCATATCGTCGTATATATTTTAATAAGCGAGGGACACTTGCTGTGATTCACATCGCTGTTATTATTCTTGTCACCCCAAATAATGGAAGACAAGGCCTCATATTACGTACAAGAACAACGTTGTTAGGCATATTAATATTAACGGTCCTTATATGCTAATTATGAAAACAATGTTCTTGATACTATTATCCTTAAAGGTAATCAATTTAATGTTCATTTTGCACAAAGAAAAAATGTTATGATTTCATAATATTGACATAAAGAAACCATTCAAAGCACCTCCCTATGATTGGTCAACGCTATACGCATGCGGCAAAGACATTATGAACAATGGCTGACAATATCAGAGATCGCTATATAGAATTCGAGCTACAACAAGAAAAGTCAATTTTGTAATAGTAATTAACCACCAAAAATTCATCGAATTGAATCAAACCGCAATGACAAAGATACCGTATGGGATTCACATATTTCAGATTAATTTATCACTGATTTATAAATAACCATTTGTATCCCAGACATCGAACACAATCCCCACCCTAGCAACAAGCCGTTAAGGTGAGAATATCTTGCTGCATTTGCTTCTTTGACTAAACAAAATACGATCTACAAAATAAGCGTGCCGTTAATGGTTATTACTTACACGCAAGAATTTCTGACTTTGGTTAACTGAGTTTTCGAATCTTTATTTAGGTGCACATGCGTGACCCCTAGTTTACTGTTGCCTTTGGTTAACTGACGTTTGTTGCATTTACAAATGCATGAGGATAGTCTGTGTTAGATGACGCGAGAAAAATTAATGTCTTTGAAATTACGTTTTTTGGAATAATTTTCGCTGATTAAGACGCCTACATCAAACCTATGTCTATCAACAATCACGTACATATGCAGCTTGTTCGAGAATTGAGTCTGGTTTGTACTTTAAACAGCTACTCATTGCTCAATGCTCTTTCGAATGAAATTTTGTATTACGCAAGTCCCCGCTAAAGCGGAGTAGAACGTGACCTGATTCTTGCAATTACATTGGTCAAATTTGTATATCAACCAATGAAATTGTAAAAAAAAACTAGCCTACCCCCAAATATGGCATGACTCAGGGGAAAATTTGACAGCCCGAGAAGTTACGGTAATTGGATAAAAATTAAAGTCCAAAAACAGATGAAACGTCATTACAATAAACCAAACATATTTTATTTTTTTTTCAAAAATGAGAACGCTTCCATTCGCCCCATTTGTGAAACACTGATAAGAAGATTAGCAGATGCATTGTGCAACATGTGAATCATATCATGATATATTAAAACTAAGAGCATTAGTTATTACGAAGTGGGGCTTGTTTGTAAAAGGCATTAGATACTGTTTCGGATGGGTTTTCGAGAAGCTACCAACCTCTTTTTTCTATCAAAAAGGAATATACTTTTTTTGCCTTTCAAACGACTCTATCCCTCGACTCGATGGTGTTACCATGAGCGGCATCAATGGCCTGGGCACCATGGGAAGATTTTATGCACGTCTTTGTTGTATTACTGTACACTGTATACCATGTACTATGTATAGATTCATAATCGTTATTACTAGTAATATTCGTCAAGTAGAACATGTGCAATCTCCCGGCTCGTTATCTCGCAAGTGATATGGTAGAGCTGATAAAGCTACGCTACACTTTACTGATGATTATACAATGGGTCTCAGAAAAGCTAGAAACATGTCCGCTGCATCCTCTTATGGGTTGAGGCGCAATTGTACAATCAACCGTGTTAATATTAATATTAAGGTTTCAGCCTCCGTATCCATGCATATATTAAATCCAGAGTTTAAGTAATAATAATATTACATACCAAATATCTATTAATTAACAACATTTTGATTACCATATCGATCGAACGCAAATAGTTATGGAAGAAGAGAACCTTTATCAAAACCAGAAGTCTATCACATTATATCTGAGCAAATCATCTCTTAAAATATCGTATAACCTCGTTTTTACACTACACGTTTTGCAGCGTTCGTATCGGATAATTATGTAGTTAGTAAGAATGACAAGTTTCGTATGCTTCGTAGTTGTATAGTTACTAGCAAGTTATTTTTGGAGGCCAACAACCGATTTTTATTATTTATTATTGTGTACTGAGTATTAGCGTAAGAATAAAAGAAATGTTCATAAACAAATTGATACATGATAAACAAATTGATCCATAATAAACAAATTGATCCATAATAAACAAATTGATCCATAATAAACAAATTGATCCATAATAAACAAATTGATACATGATAAACAAATTGATACATGATAAAATAAATTGTTAGTTGTGGTGCCTCGTTAACAAACATGAATTAATTCTATATAAAATAAATAGATACATGATAAAAAATTAAACATGAATAAGTGTATTTATGGTTGCCCCCGCGCAATAATATACACGCTTAAGAAAGGGCAACCAGAAGAAGTTGTTGTTTGTGTTGTTTGTGTTGCCCCCGCGCGATAATATGCGCTTAAGAAAGGGCAACCAGAAGAAATTGTTGTTTGTGTTGCCCCCGCGCGATAATATGCGCTTATGAAAGGGCAACCAGAAGAAATTGTTGTTTGTGTTGCCCCCGCGCGATAATATGCGCTCTTAAGAAGGGGCAACCGGAAGAATTTTTAAGTTCATGGCATTTATGCCACGCTATTATTAACAATAGAAAAATTAATATTAAAAGTTTGCAAGCTGATTGTCATCTTAAAGTCAACATATAAATCACTGTTTAATACCTACAATAATGCTGTTGGTTGATGAGGTTGACCGTCATATTTTTTGCCGGTCAGGGTAATCTCTTGTCGGTAAGAGGATGCTACCCTCTTTCTCAAACTGAACTGTTGCCGTCGGAAAACTTTCGAAGGATATAAGCCTTTGGCTTTTTTCGTTTGCGAAACCTAAATTATTTTGGCTTGTGTTAGTCATAGCTGTAACGGCCTTCTGTAAGTTGAAGCAAATCGCAATACAAGTCACAGATATTGCTTACCCGTTTCCCGTGTTCGAACTTGTTTATTTTAAAAATATTGATAATAAGGAAGAGAGAGGCGATGGCATTAAACCAGGAAAAAAGTGAATTTGAATTTTTAAAATTTTGTTTGAGGGTGGGTTGAGGCAAGCGAGTTTGTGAGTTGAGAAGTGAGTTGAGAGTGTGGGCTGTTAACACACTTTTATACAATTGATTAATAATCATCTATTGTGCTTGCTAAATCGGTCGTCCATTGTTCATATTAAAATCAGCAGAACACTATTGGCTATAGAATAGTTTATTTATTCAAGTACTCTACTGAGTCGTGTATATTCTCTCATAGTCAAATTTCCATTCAAATCTTCTTTGCTGTCTCGTCCCGAATTGGGACTAGTAGCGTAACTCAGTCTCACCTGAGACTTGTTACACTCGATGCCTGCACTACATTATTATGTGATTATCATGATAAGGCCAAACTGTGTAGCCCAATATTCTGCTCTGTATACTCATAACTAGAATATCTCACGTAAATTGAAACAAGCGAGAAAAACCAAACTACATAGTCGTTCTGACCGACAATTAGCGTATCTCTGATATTGTCAGTTGCTGTGCGTAATATCTATGCCATATGCATTACCGAGAAGTATAGCGGTTGACCAATCATGATAAGCAATAGGATGCATATAAGGCTGATACTATATCGCTTTAAATGGTTTAACTGCTGCACGTCATGATACTAGTATTGTATGTCATTGTGAATGTGTCGAGTGTTGGGGGAAGCATAAGGTTCGATGAATTCCCTATTTCAATATTGTATGATATCATAGCTTTTTTTTTTTTTTTTTTTCACCTTGTGCGTTTGTTTGATAGCAGGTCTGTCAGCTGATCAGCGACATTGTTTGCTCTTTAAGGGATAGCCGAATAATTTATAATATCGTCTGTATACGAGGCTTCTTTTTATAGTTCATACGCCTCAACGAAAAATCGTAATGTAAAAGCTTTTGTTCTCTATTATTTGGGTGACAAAAGCGAAGTTAATATAAATGACAGCGAAGTTAATAGAAATGACAGCAATGTGAATAGAAATGACAGCAATGTGAATAGGTTTCAGACTAAGCAAGAAGATCCTTCACATATAATATACGACGACAATTTAATCTAACCAAACATAAATTATACCATACAGAAGTCTTCATCTCTAAGAAAATGCACACCTTTGAAATCGCCAATTCGAAATAAGCACATTTTATTTCGATAACACCACGTAAACAATGTTGATTAGTTGTCGCTTATTGGTGTGATTATTTAAACAATATGCCCATTTCGAATTGGGTATTGCGATTTGGGTCAGAACATGAACATGGTACGCTTTACCTTTTTCAACGTTGAACCAATCAAAGGAAATACGAAGCTAACTAACTGTTTATACAACACCATATTCTAAATGCATCTCCTCCCCAAGCTCCGCCGCAATCACCAATCGATTTGACAAGTGAAAACGCTAGAGATATGGCCTATGGTATGAAATGGCCAAGCAACAGTTCTGGCTTAAAAACATCAGATACGATCCGAAAGAACAACGAAAGTTGTCAACTCTCGAGAAAAGAAATATAGACTGTTAATTATCGCTGGCGAAGGGCAGAATACCTCGTCTTTTATAACTAATTGAACAATGAGGTATAATCAAGAATTTACGTGATTTGTATCAGAACAATTGATTTAAGAATCAGTATCGATAGTTAAATAAAACTAGGTTTAGGAACTGAAGAACATTCAGATTTGTTATTAGGAGTGTAGGAAATACGGTTACAGTATTGGAATGGGTTTAAGTGATGGATCGACAGCCGCTGGTGGGGCAGGAGGAATCGGTGCATTGACATTTCCAATAGCGAGAGCCCGTGCTTCGTATTGGGAGAGTCTCATCTTGATAAGGAACTGGTGCAAACCGATTGACAGGAAGCCTCCATATCTCGAATTAGAATGCGGGGGAGGGGAAGGAGGAGGAGGAGGAGGAGAGGAATAGCGATGATCGTATGCCGGTGCGTATTTTGATGGCATCTGTGGATTACCAGGCTGAACTGGCGCACCATTTCCACGCATATCATAATCATCGGATCGTAACGAACTCGGTGGATTCGAGTAATAACCAACCCCTCTTCCTGGCATAGTACCATTACTATTTACCGCCTTACTCAATGGCTGTTCGTCATCGCTCTCGCTCTCTTCCTCTTCCTCATCACTTGAAGAATCCGAGTTAAAATCTTTTTAGGAGCAGCTGAACTTGACGGTTGCATTTTCGTAACAAGTAGAGCAGTGGAAAATAGCAAAACGCGTTTGTTTATTTTGGCACGATAATATTATTTTACCAAGTAAATATACCAAAAAGCGGGCATTTCTCTTCATCCTGTTGAGAGTAACAGAAGCTGAACTTGACGATTGCATTTTCGTAACAAGTGGAGCATCGTCACTGTATTCAGAGGAATATGAATTGCGATTTTGATTTGGCACTCGTCGGATTGAGGAGAATGCCTTGAGATTTGTTATCATATGGTTTTGAGTCATACCCTCGATTATCATACCCTCCTCGATCTTCATATCCTCCTCGACCTTCATATCCTCCTCGATTTTCATATCCTCCTCGGCCTTCATATCCTCCTCGATTTTCATATCCTCCTCGGCCTTCATATCCTCCTCGACCTTCATATCCTCCTCGACCTTCATATCCTCCTCAACCTTCATTATCCTCGTATCCTCCTCGACTTTCGTATCCTCCTCGACCTTCATATCCTCCTCAACCTTCATTATTCTCCTCGACCTTCATATCCTCCTCAACCATTATCCTCCTCGACTTTCGTATCTTCATACCCTCCTCTGTTGCCATAGACCCTTCGATTATCAGGTCCTCCTCTGTTATCATAATTCACCACAACTGTTACTTTCGTGCGAAGAAACAGATGATGCTTTTAGTGATAACACGTTTCCATTTTCTTCTTTCTTGCTTTTGTTCGACGAAACCGAAGAGTGAGGCGAGTGACGATTCTTTCTTCAGGACCATCTGCTTTATTAGTCTTTCATCGCTTTTTCCATTTCATGGGTGTGATAGAAATGCCTTGAAGGATGTTGACAAAGGACGTCGCTGAATACAATTTTCTGGTATGGTACTGACTCGGTAGGTATGAAGTGAACCAGGGTGCAGAGACAGCCAGGATTTAGGGGAACAGGATTGGAAAGAAACTAAAACAAAATGTGGGAGGAAGGTTTAGATTTGAGCTCTGACCGGTGAGTGAGAAGATGATAGTGGCAAAGAAGATAATGTATTATTATGCGTTAGGAGATGCTAGAAGGATTTTTGCATTTTTAGAATGAGAACGGATTAAGAGTGAGGACGTCCAGAAAAGGATGTATAAAAGAGGAAAGTGATTTTGTCAAATGGATAGCACTCGATAACTCGGCCACTATGATGCTGCACCAGGTATTTAGAAGTCCATGAAGGATGTTACGAAAGACCATGAGGAACGCCTAGAAAATTGTATAGGAAAAAGCGTCGAATATGTAAAATTCATGTTTACCTTAACATGTTTGATCCTGTCTAGGCTATCCGCGTGCAATATCGTGCTCAAAACTTCTTAATCTCACGCTGCGATTGACATCAAAATGAACGAAAGGAGCGCAGAGCTTGTCTATTTGGATTTTATTTTCTGGGGAGTAAAAAAAGATGGGGAGTTGGCATGTTTGATGCGTGGTGATCACAATCGTTAGCCGCTACATTACATACTATATCTATGTTTGCTTACGGATCCTACCTGTAGTTGTTGCACCGAAGGCGAGGCGAAGATCGCATTAATGACGGAAAACCGATTCTGCGAATTAAGCGATGATGCGCGTCAGTGTGTGCTATATGCTTTTCCTGAGGTATGCGATGTTTCCATGCAAACAACGATTATGTTGTGTATTGTCTCTTTCAACCCCGTAGTTTAGATGGTCGTAATGGAAAAAAATGTTAATACCTTTCATTAATAGTCACCCAAATCTTGTTGCGGGAACAATGATGCCTTGGTCGGTAGGCTATTATTCTGTTATCAATTGCTGACATTTGGTTCTTTGTTGGAAATGTATCAGTATGTAAATCCCGAAATCCCGTTTGGGGTGCCGCATTTATTTATGTAAATCCCATCCAGGGTCCCCAAAACTGCATTTACATATTAATCAATCCGGGATTTACATAGTGACGGAATTTCAGCAGCAAAAAGAATGTTAACATGTAAATACTTAATAAAAATCAAAGCGATCAACACGATAGAGTCATGAACGGATCCTGTCTTCTAGTCAGCTAGTACTAGGTGGTGCTTTATTTATATTGTAAGTATTATTAGGACCGCAATCAATTATTTGGTCAAGCTTGCTATTTAAAGGACGTGGATCTCGTCAACCAATTCTATAAACTTCTTCACTTGAAATTTCTAGATTGGACGAGAAGATGCTATCGTATATATTAGAACTATGGACTGTTGTAATTAAATGAGCACGGCTGCAGATGCAGTCGGCGTAAGCGCTGATAGCAGATAGTTTTCATTGCCTATATTGCTTTGATTTAAATAGAAGAAATTTCACTCAGACGCTGATTATACCTCTATTTTACTTCTAGCAACCAGAGGATTTTCTCTTGGATTCGTGAACGTTTAATCGGGGTTAGTAGAATTTTACGCGCTTTATGGTGAATTGTTTAGACAATGTGATTTAATGGTTGAGTAATACTCAACACCGAATGCTAATTTTTTCTCCCATGGTCTCTTCAACATTTTACCATTCCCTTTTATATCTGAAACAATTCAACCCCGCCTAGGCCAACCTCCACAGATTAGTTTATCTATCCAGTAATACTGACGCACTAATTAACGATTGGGAGAGTAAGATTAACGAGTGGAAAGAGGAAAGGGTGAACAGTATTGTCATGAAAGACTATAACGCGCGGACTAGCTCGGTCGGCACCAGACATAGTGAAGTGATTATGAATGAGAACTTGATCATACTAGGATGTCGATGGAAACGAGAATTATTTCGTTGAATATCAGCTAAACCCTAGCATTAGGAAATGTAGGAAGGACATCAGGTGAGAATTTGATCGTTAGGATTATGAAGGGCGTGGTTGGAAGGAACAAGATGAATAGACATGCTAGGGGGTGGATGTATAGAATTCGATAATGTCGATGGTATAATGCTGCCCATATGATGTTGCCTACCATTATTTTGGTTACAGCATTGAACAATATCTCAAGATTTACCTAGTGATTCGCATTGTGAGAGTAATAATCTACGGGATTTAATATTTCATCAACATCTTCGAGATATGCATGGAAGTTACGTCAACAAGGGTCTGGTGAGCAGCTTTCGTTGTTCAATTTATGACTTAGTATATTCGCCATGGAAGTCAGTCATAACGTTTTGACAAACTAAGCTTGTGTGCGAATGGAATGCGTCCGGCCTTCTCAAAGCCCTGATTTCTTAATTAATAATAGCACGTATGTGCGATGAATTAGACTAGAAGGTGAGATGTCTATATCCATTCTACTGAGTGACGGGTTTATTATCGATTAGAAGAATGTACGTGTAAGAATCATTTACTAATCGCAATTTGGCAGCAAACAAAAAACGGTATGTCGAAAATTATTTTAGACGACGCTTGTACCATAAGTCTTTATTATAAATTCCAAAAATACCATATGATGGTTTATACATTGAAATAAAGTGATTTAAAACCTCTTTACTATTTCTTACGTGCTTGTAAAATTTGACTGATCACACCGCAACCTTGGAATTCTTATTCGTTGTTATAACCTTATAAATTGCTTTCTTTATATGTCATCACGCGTCACAATTTACAATTCCTTTGTAGACACGTCAATTTGTCATGCAGATGCTGCGCGTCCGTGTGGTCTGCTGCCTGTTCATTCGCTTTTGAATGTTCCTTTGATCTCGTTAGAAAGACGGAATTGCGCACTGGCATCTCCCTGACTCACTGCGTTTCGAAGCAATATAAATGCCGCTCGGTCGTTCTTTTCCACGCCTTCTCCATAATAGTAACAAATAGCAAGATTATGTATTGCCAGGATAAATCCACCTCTGGCAGCTTTTCGATAGAAATCTGACCGCTTTTTGGTAGTTCACCGACTTCCCAAGAAACATATGGCGTTAGCAGTCCTCGTCGGGCAGCCAGCTGAAATAATTCGACTTCTTCTCTAATGTTGCGTGGTATGGATTCTTCTCCAGTGATATTCATTGCGGACATGTTGCGTGCGTGGTATGTTGTTTGCGAGGTATGTTGTATAATATGATCTGTTTTAAGATATATCGTCTCATCGGGGAACTTGCGTATTTAAGTATATTCTGGGTAATAACATGGGGTAAGGATCACAATAGGATATTCAATGCAAAACTATTGTTGTTGTTGATGCCGCTGACATTATAGCTAGAATTGAATGTTCTCGGAACGTTCCATTGATCCCGTTTGTCATTTAATCAAGACATATTTGTTTCTTCGGCGCAACGTTTATCATATTGAAAGAGGAAAGATGTGCCATATTAGATTTTATCCAATATCGCATGAGTATCGGGCGTCAGTTGTCGTGTTTAGTTCATAATGATAGATTAAAGTAGCGAGCGAGGAACAAAGCTTTTCTGTGCATGTACGCATTCTATGTATCACAGCAATTGATTGGATATGCTTTTTGGCGGAATGAAAGGCGTAAGTATAAGAATGGTTTAAGAAATTTATTTGAAAGGTATTAAATAAAGAAACGTTTGCATATATTATGTGTAGTATAATTATGCATGAGCATCATAATATAGTGAGTGATCGAAGTTCAGAATGATGAATCACAAGTCTATTTATATTATAAATAGACGGATAACAATATACCGTATAAATAAAGCGCATTATTTATCTAATAATATGAACTACTTATTGTCAGACCCCAAAATGAGCTCTATTTGATCATTCATCGAGAAGTCACGTATTATATTGAAGAAGACAATACAGGATAGCGAATAGCTGTTCGGATAATGAGCGATAGTCTCTGCTTCACACCCGGTACTGGACTACGATACCCGTTCGTTTTGGAGTTTTTCAATAAAGCCGTACACTAACAGCCCATGTTTTGTATAACGATCTCTTGTTTTAACTAATTTTATGTATTCGTTAATATAACTGCTGTGTCTATTTTCAAGTGCTCGTCTCTTGTGTTGTATTAGGAAATGAGGTATTTGGCGTCACTCATCGACCAATGATTTTAATTATAAAGTCACATTATGGAGTGCTTGCTGCGTCATATTCATGGTCCCTTACGCCTGCAGCATAGTATTGTTTGTCATTGACTCTTATTTCTCATCTTACATTATTATTTACATCACTGTATTAAATAAAATAAAAATAGTATAATTAAAAGCTCATAATATACATTTAAAATGACAGGAATATATTGGGATAGACAAAGACTTCAATGGCCGATTTTTTGAAAATTGATATTGCATACGTGTAACAATATCCGTAAGCCATTGATTACGTATTGACAATGTGTTGATTTATGTCATACAAAAATCACGCGCATGCACATGACCGATTTTCACATTCTAATACCGGAATGTTACTTGAACGTCATACTAATACCAAGGTATCTAACTCTGATTGATTTGAGTCATTCCGTAAGCGATTGGCTCTCGAGTGCAATGTCAGAATCTGTTTCGCATCAATCTCTCTTCGGACATAATTCTTGCATCAGCAACATTTAGGCTAGTCATCTGAATGCCCGCAGGCAAGTGTGTTGACACGTAGACTTCGAGTTAATATTAACAATACTATTAGATCACATGTGGGTAAAGACATTCTGTTGTAGTATTGTTGTGAAAACATGCAATATATTGTAAATAGTGTGAACTAGCGAGTCACCAAGATTCCCCAATATCATATCCCAATAGCAGAATAATATAGTTATAATAACAAGTTTTCCTAGAATATTTACAGTATATTTAGACTACGTATATCAAATAAACGATCGGCCGTAGATCAGCGGTTATACATGTAGAACGATGACTGGATTAAATAATAGTAAAGCATTCACAAACTCATTTCGATTAATCTCTCTTCCAACCCGTCTTTTAAACTACTAAAAATCTCTCATTCAATATTGTAACCCTCCTTCCAATGCCTGATGCTACAAGCTATCGACTTATATTTCGCCGAAAATCTCCTCTATTCGTTCGAGTTTTCGTTCCGATGGTGAAATCATATCCAGGTATCCTTCTTTAAATCTCTTTATTTTCCACCCCCACGATCTGCCTCAACTCTAATCTACTTAAATACGCGAACTATATTTGTACACTTCCTAACAGGCTGGTACGGCCGACAGAAATACCGTTCTCAATGTTTCTCTTGTTTTCGTATTGTTCCATTAACCCAACCTTCTATGCTTTCTTTCATACCATTAAATTCTATATACTAGTCAAATTTCCTTACACAACCTTTCCTAAAAGTCGTTTACCAACCCAAACGCTTAATCTTCTTGCATCACATTGTTCTCATGCGAACTAAAAAAGAAACGATATATAAGGAGTTCCGCAGATGTGTTGCATCAGAGTCGTTGTATGTGACAGCAACAGAATCGCGGCAATCATGTTGTCGTTTCGTAGCCAAGAACACTTTAATCAAATGTTATAATCACCACTAACATATCACTGGATACAATGCCTTGCTGGTTTCAAAACGGGAGAGGTATGGTCATTATCCAATGGTATAGTTTGTGTTGTCACCAGTAAACCTTCCTTTATAGGCGATGTAGAAATAACAGACTTTCCTTTGGTACTATTGCTTCTCAGGTAGAAATCATAGATATAACAGATCCCTTCCCTGAGGTTTATCTTCCCGACGAGGAAGTATTCTCGGAAAATGGTAGCTCATTTCTTGTATTATAGTGAAGTGTATGAAGATGAAGTAAAGCAGGATGCGGATGCGGATGCGCAAATGCATGTAGAGATGTATGAGACTGACTGTGGCAACAGAACTGAGGATGAACTATCCGAGTTTAATGTTTATGAGTTTGCCTGTGAGATTGAGCGTAACAGGATTCAGCTTTCATGGTAAGAACACGAGGATTGCAAATTGATTAAAGCTAATTATTGACTATTTACGCGATAAACATATCTTTTATAGCAACTGCAGTAATAGTTTATCTTCAGCGACGAATAGACTTTTGTTTCCTTAAACCCAGACTCAAACGAAAGGTCACTACTATCTTCAACAGTTGCGCATTATCATTATTCGATTTGATCTGAATGTGGTTTTGTTTATGTCTTTAGTCTGCTCAAAGACTTCCACATAAAATCAGAAGTCGGCAATAAAGAAAAGCAAGGTTATTATTATACGGTGTAATTTGCTTTCTTTCTCAAGAACTTAATGCACGAATATTAATACACTTTTCTCTGCAAACAGTTCTCAAAAATGTTGGCATAGTTGAAATATTTATCGTAGATCAATTGAGAAGTTTTGATCAATGAGGAATTCGTATTCCCAAGTTATTTTTCCATAGAGTTTGACTAAACTATCAAAGCAAGACAAAACGCTTACTATCAAAAAAAATTTTTATTTTTATATCAAAACCCATACAAGAGCATAAAACGCAAGCGATATATTGTTGCTGTATATGTAACGTTCCATGATGAAGCAAATGCTTGTATTGTTCTATTTTAGTATTTCGTAAAGAGATACTGGCGATATAAAATGAAACTATTCCTAATATTTGATCATTAGGAAGTCAATGACTTCAATAAATAGATTTCGTTTTTAGATTCCGTTCCGTTGTAAGGACATCCGAATTCTAGATATTCCACCATCGTTAGCTGGTGGGAGGTTAACATTCACTGTTCTTTCTACCTGTGAACTATATATAGCTGCCATTACGTCTTGCTGACAATGGTCGCTGATATGACGTATTCGTAGTTGATCTAGAGCCGCGATAAACGTCTTCTAAAGCTTTAACACGGCCAGAATTACGAATAGCTACACTACCTAGACATAAGTTTGCGCGCTTCCATTATTGGCAATACATGCTTCTATTCGTTGAGGCATACTATCCCTCTAAATTTACGAGATTTCTGGAGGATCAGAACGGTCGCGCAAGCAACGTTCGAGATGATCCCAAAGGTGCTCAATGGGATTCAAATCCAATCCATTAACATTTTAAAATTTTTTTTCAGCAATCCTTGCCTTAACATCTTTAGCCGTATGAATGGGTGCCCAAAATTTCAAGATTTCTGGGAGGATCAGAACGGTCGCGCAAGCAACGTTCGAGATAATCCCAAAAGTGCTCAATGGGATTCAAATCCGGGGATTGAGCAGCCAATCCATTAACATTTTAATTATTTTTTTTCAGCAATCCATGCCTTAACATCTTTAGCCATATGAATGGGTGACCCAAAATTTTTATGTAATCGTAACGATTAATTATTCCTTCTACGCGTACACGAGAAACAGAGCTTTCAATTGATACCAAAAATTTGTTACGTCAATTTTAATAAAAAATAAGAAAAACTGACCGCGCAAACTTATGTCTATGTGTCCACGGGAAGGAAATCATATTGTCAGCAGGGTCATCCCTCTCTCGCATGGATGATACGCAACATGATACCAAGCATAGGCCTTGGCTTCCAGTCTGCTCTTAATACCCATCTGGTTTTTGCCTCGGCTGCTGATATTCGGCAAAGATGTTCTTCCAAATTTTTTACAGTAATACCGGTCATCGTTCACTGACCGCTCTCTGTATTTCACTTGCTCCACCTTTATGGTAGAGTTGACTATGAATCCACTGACAACCTCGTATTCAGTCATGACACCATATTGATTCATTAGACCGCGTACATCTGCATCATATGCACGTTTCGTAACAGAGATCTTCCAGATGTTGTTCATAGCCATCCACGATCTGTACAGTTTTCCAAGAATCTTTTGAGACTCATAAGATCGTTATCCGCTTTATCCATAAAATCTGGATATTCGCTTACACGCACAGCCTCAGAATGTAACTGTACCAGTCGCAAACAGTTTCCATGCATAGCACATATCCTGTGTAGCAACTCTGTGATTAATGGGCAGAGGAGAATAAATACGCGAGGCTTCTTTGATGACCACTTCAAGCTAATCAAGTTTTTTGTTCGCGTCATCGAGCTGCAGTATTCTATTCGGGTTATTTCGCGACCGCTATAATGTCCACCGCGACCGTTGTCATATCCATCACCACAGCGGGGAATCTGTTACTGTTGTCGTAACCATTTTGACGATGATTTTGCCCGTTTCCTCTGCTATAGTTGCTTGGCATCATCCTGGCTATATTATTCTAATTCAAATTCGAACTGAAGTTTATGCCTTTAGCGTTATCGTTTCTGGTATTAAGTTAAGACGGTGCAAAGGCGACAGTCGCATAGTTTAACTGTGCTGGTTGTGACTAGTGTGGCCGGGAAAATCACAAGACGGTTTGGTTTGAAGTAAAACTTAGCATGTATCGCTTCTCTTGGTAACGCTGACAATATTTTTTGGATCTGTGATCTTAGAGTTTTAGACCAAGCCATAATTTGGTCTTCGGGGGCGCGGTGGAATTCCAAATAAAGAACACACAGAAAAAGTTTGCGCTAACTAGAATAAGGAAACTTGTCAAACAATAGATTTATTGGTGATTTCGTCGACGATCATTTCACCGACGATCATTTCACCGACAAATCTTCACCAACGTTATCTCGAAGTTATCCTTTTTTGGTAGTTAATTGTCGGTGAAATGTACTGTCGGTGAAATGATTGTCGATGAAATAATACGGACCCATTATAACTATACACAAAAAATGGGGTTCCTTATGAAGCGGCTCAATTATTTTCGTACCAAAAATATCGACACGATAGTGGATTCGAAAAGTAACATTTCTTGCACTATAAAAAATAAGCAGAGAAAACAATACTGCAATATGGTCCGGTGCAAAAGGTTGATACACGAAAATCGCCACGTTATGGAATGTTTCAAACTTGAGATTTTTTAACAAACCCTTGTTCATTTCTTTTCTCATGGATGACTTGAAACGAGATTACTGGTAACGAAAAAAAGATGATCATCTGTACTTTTAAGTATCCGACAACGCCAAACGCAACGTCAAGACTTATCACTACGCAAGGAGGTTGCTTCGGTTCTCGATATTGTGGAGGCAACAGTTGCGCGTGTGGTTGCTGAGTATAACGGAAGTGAAAATGAAGAATTCTCACGGCAAGCAATCCAAGGAAGGACTCGACCATAATGTTGATAACAAGTTTGCCATGTCCGCAAACGTTTCCGGTCCTCATCTAATCTTCTTGCTATTAGAGACAAATTATTGCACACTTTTAAAGAAAATGTTACATCTAGGGTTATTGTTGAGTTTTGGAAAATATCAATTGATAGGGCCAAAGAGTATAATAATAATAATAATAATAATAATAATAATAATGATTCTTGAACTATAAATTTATTTAAACATGACATTAATTTCGAAAAACAAAATTATTTATTATGAATGTGGTTGCTAAGGGGAGCTTGTCATAACATAAACAGGAGCCCACGCGCCTCCAAAATTTTAATGGTGAATTCGATAATGGTGAATTCATCCATTTTTATTTAAAAATAATAAAAGTTTATTTTAGATAAAGCCGTTTTGTTAAAGGCTTTAAGTATTCTACCGCTATACTAATGCAGACGGGTCACGTGTATGCATTTACAGAATTTATATTTATATTAGAATGACCTCTCGGGATTGCGAAATCGGTTGCACGTGCAGAATAGGGAGAGTGTGCATTTATCACTAATTCCCGAGGTTGGGAATCTGAAATACCGTGCATTTAAGGAGAGTGTGCATTTAGAGAGAGTGCATTTAGAGAGAGTTGACTGTACTAGTAACTATACCGATACTCGTGCTTACAAAACTGTAAATACTTGACATAAGACATTTACTAAAATAGTAATAATTTTAACCACATTTTCCAAATTAAGCGATCGTAAATAGTTACTGAAGAGAATATTATTTATGAAGTTCCCGACAATGACCACGAACTTGTATATCTCTTTAAGGATACTGATCAAGCAATTACGGATGTAGACGACATAGATAATAGTGAGGAAAGTCCTGTTATTAGCGCTAGCACAGCAATCGCTAGCTTGGAAATAGTACGTGCCTTTCTTTCACAACAGGACAATGCGGAAAAATATATTATCTCTTTACAAATATTGAAAAGTTTGTTGAAGTCAGAAAACTAACATTGACACATATTTTCTAGTCTGACTAGTATAATTGACCTCTAGCAAAAATTTAAAAGCGCGTAGTAGCTTCACAAATAAACAAATAAATCGCGTCCAATTTTAATAAACAATCGTGCTACTTTTTGTGTTTGTCTTAAGCCCTGTCTTGTCTAAATTTTATAATCGTCAACAAATGTCTTCAAACAAGCATAATTCAATGTTCAACTTACACCTGGGAGAACAGCGGTGTACTAGCCGTTTTTGGATTTAGTTTTTTCCAACGGAAGCTTTCGCTCTTCCTACTTCAAACTAAATATCGATACAATTGGCCTTTAACTAGGTTTAATACTCACGATCTGTATATTATCGGTCTTGTATACGCTGTCCCTAGATTATTGTGTAACCTCGAGTAATCACTTCGATTTCTTTGATGGGATTAGTCTCAAAGCCTATTGGTTCGGGGAATTTATCTCTGAAAAATTAAACAATAATCCTGAAAGCAAATTCTATTCACCGATGACGGGGAAAGCGTTTCACACTTCGCCAACGACTCTTATCAGGAAATAAATGAAAATAACAATATTTATAATTAAATAGGATTTTTATTTAAAAGAATTATCCTAATAGCAACGTCTTGCTGAAACTGAACTGCAGATGATTTTTGGCTACTGCGTATTTATCGTTTCAGATTTTGTGTCGATATATTGGACGCTGATCTGCACTGCGACGATTGTACCACTTGGATTCGGTGCCGCAGAGGAACACGTCATGTTTAGGCCTTGAGTGCATTCCCCAAAAAGCTTTACCATAGCCATATAACTAATAATAATAACTGGTATTTCTCTATCAACAATCAAATATAATATCAAAGAAAAACTTTGCATAGAAGGAGCAATGCATTCACAACAACACCAACGGAAAAGCAAAGATTCTGTCAAGAACCTCACTAATAGGCTGGCTAATCTCCTTGGGCGAGAGAACTCTGACCCTGACATTATTGCAAACTTGGCTACAGAATTATCCAAGGATGGAGAACACATATCCCATATAACAGTGGGAAGAAGACTGAAGGAACTTGGGTACAAAAATTCTCTTCCAACTAGCACACCAATGCTTACAAATAATCATAAGACAAAACGAGTTGAATGGGATGGGCACAAACACTTAACTTGGAATATGGTGTGGGACACCTAAAGCCCGAAATAAAATACCCAACTTTCAAAACCCTAAGGCTTATATATTGGAGGGTTTAGACAAAAACTAATCCGTAAGAATGATAGAGCAGACGAAGTAGAATAAAAGTTACGGTTTAG